AGAGTTTATTAAAAGTCAAATTTGCAAAATTGAAAAATCGAAATTTTGAAAAATCGGCAACTGAAAAACAGGAAATCTAAAACATGAAGAAATCGAAACATTTGAAAAATTAAAAACTTGAAAAATTGAGATACCGAAGAACTAAAATGAAAAATCGGGAAATCGAAAAATAGAAAATTTTATATATTGAAAAATTAAAATATCAAAAAATTGAAAAATTTAAAATTCAAAAACCGAAAAATTGTAAAATCCAGAAGTCAAAAATAAAAAAGTCGAAGAATGCAAATATTGAAAAATCCCAATTGAAAAATCGAAAGATTAAAAATCGTAAAATTTAAGAGGAGAAAAATTGAAAGAACGTGAAATTGAACATGGGAAAATTGAAAATCGTGGAACTGAAAAATTGAGAAATTTTAAAATAGAAAAATTGAGAAATCGAAAAATCAAAAAAGTGAAGTCGAAGTATCTAAACCTTAAAAAGTCGAAAAAATGAAAAATCAAAAACCTGAAAAATCGAAAAATTAAAGAATTGAAGAACAGGAAAATCGAAACACTCGAAAGTCAAAAAATGGGAAAATCAAAACATCGATTATTTAAAAAATCGAAAAATTGAGAGTTTATTGAAAGTCAAAAAATTTGAAAAAACTTAACCGAAATATTTCAAAAAACTTAACCGAAATATTTCAAAATCGTAAAATTGAAAGGGAGAAAAATTGGAAAACGCAGAATTGAAACATCGGAAAATTGAGAAATCGAAAAATTGATAAATAAAAGAAAAACTGAAGAATGTAAAAACTGAAAAATCTCAAAACTGAAATGTCCAAGAACTGAGAAATTAAAAAATTGAACAAAATTGAGAAATCAAAAAGTCAATAAAGTGAAGTCGAAACATTAAAACTTTAAAGAATTGAAAAACTCAAAAATCAAAAACCTAAAAAAATTGAAAAATTGAAAAATCGAAAGATGAAAGAACGTGAAATTGAACATGGGAAAATTGAAAATCCTGGAACTGAAAAATTGAGAAATTTTAAAATAGAAAAATTGAATAATAAATAAACTGAAAAATCCCAAAACTGCAATGTCCAAAAATTGAGAAATAAAGAAATTGGAAAATTGAGAAATCGAAAAATCAAAAAGTATCTAAACCTTAAAAAGTCGAAAAAATGAAAAATCAAAAATCTGAAAAATCTCAAAATTAAAGAATTGAAGAACAGGAAAATCGGAACACTCGAAAGTCAAGAAATGGGAAAATCAAAACATCGATTATTTAAAAAATCGAAAAATCGAGAGTTTATTAAAAGTCAAATTTGAAAAATTGAAAAATCGAAATTTTGAAAAAACGGCAACTGAAAAAAACAGAAAATCTAAAACCGGGAAGTCCAAAAATCGAAAATTCTAAATATTGAAAAATTAAAATATCAAAAAATTTAATTTAATAAATCTAAAATTTAAAAACCGAAAAATTGTAAAATCGAAAAAGTAAAAAAATCGACACATCGAAAAATCCAGAAGTCAAAAATAAAAAAGTCGAAGAATGCAAATATTGAAAAATCCCAAAACTGAAATATCGAAAAACTGAAAAATGAAAGAAAAACTGACGAATGGAACAACTAAAAAATCCCAAAAATTGAAATATCAAAGAACTCAGAATCTAAAAAATTGAAAAAAATTTGGAAACCGAAAAATCAAAAAAGTGAAGCCGAAGTATCGAAAGTAATTGAAAAATCGTAAAATTGTAAAGGAGAAAAAATGGAAAACGCAAAATTGAAACATCGGAAAATTGAGAAATCGAAAAATTGAATAATAAATAATCTGAAAAATCCCTGAACTCAAATTTGGAACAATTTAAAAATAAAAGAAAAACTGAAAAATGTAAAAACTGAAAAATCTCAAAACTGAAGTGTCCAAAAACTGAGAAATTAAAAAATTGAAAAATTGAGAAGTCAAAAAGCCAATAAAGTGGTCGAAAAATTAAAACTCTAAAAAATTGAAAATCTCAAAAATTAAAAACCAAAAAAATTGGTAAACTGAAATGAAAAACCGAAAAACTGAGAGTTTATAAAATTAAATTTGAAAAATTGAAAAATCGAAAGATTTAAAAATCGTAAAATTGAAGAGGAGAAAAATTGGAAGAACATGAAATTGAACATGGGAAAATTGAGAAATCGAAAAATTGAAAATCGTGGAGTTGAAAAATTGAGAAATTGTAAAATAGAAAAATTGAATAATAAATTAACTGAAAAATCCCAAAATTGAAATTTGGAGAAATTGAAAAATGAAAGAAAAACTGAAAAATCCCAAAACTGCAATGTCCAAAAGCTGAGAAACAAAAAAACTGAAAAATTGAGAAATCGTAAAATCAAAAAAGGAAAGTTGATCGAAAGTCGATCCATTTAGTTTGGAGACGAAAATATAGGACGGTGTCATTTTTGGGTTAAAAATGGCCTTTTTTCAATTTCAACTAGACCTAACTTCAAAACGACAAAAAATTCAGTACTTCAGTTTGAAGCATTGGATTCCTTGAGGCTTTTTATTTTCGTAAGCCAATTTTCAGAACCGATAGTCGATCCGTTTGGTTTGGGGAGACGAATTATGGAAAGGTGTCATTTTTGGCTTAGAAAAGAGTTTTTTAAAATTCGATTATACCTTACTTCAAAACAGCACGAGATTCCGCACTGTGGTTGGAGCATTCAATTTGTTGAGGGTTTTCAGTTCCGTGGGCCAATTTTCAGATCGGATAGTCGATCCATTTATTTTGAGGAGATGAATTATCATTTTTGTCTTAAAAACAGAAATAAGGATATCAAAAGATTCGAAGTCGGGGCAATATTACGGACAAGAGAACTTGCAATATTTACAGGGGTATCGGAGTATCCCAGGAAAAATCTTGGCGAAAATAGTGGAAAGAAGAATAAGAGAAAATAGTAAAACCACTATAGAAGACACTCGGCAAAAAAAAATTTAAACAACAAAAATTGTAAAAGAAATGTACAGAAGAATAAAATGAACAACCAAATAAATGTAGATCCATAGCACTTTATTTAAGTATTATTTATTGGTCAGTTTTTGCAGGCGTTTAGATTCGTCATGATCTGAACCATAACATTGCATTTGAGATGCAATAATTCGCACTAGAAATTTGTCCAGTGAGAAGTTTTTTTTTATCACACTGTACGATGTTCTGTGGCATATTTTAGCCAGAATAATTAAATAACTGCCTGTAATTAAGATGGAAGAGCGTAATTCATTTGCGTAGGTACTTAAAAAATGTAATGTAAATTTTAGCTACTAATTTTTTTTCGACCGTTGATTATATTAATTTTTATTTTAATTCCCGCGTTTTGCCAACTTAATAGGACTAATTTTAGACAAAAATTATCCGCTTCGAACATAACTTGCCATAAGCTACGGCGTTGTTCCAAATATGTATTTTATTACTTCGACACCAAGTTTCTTAATTCATGTTGTAAGTTGGATAACGTTTCATTGTGGATCTCGTGTTCCAACTGTACCAATTTAAGTTTCAAAGCTTGTATTAAAGACGGCTTTCAAAAGTCAAAATTAAGGACATAAATCTTAAATTAAACTAACACCCAAAAAATCGCACAAAGGTCTCAATTTAATTGAGACAGTAAAAAAATCACAATTATTAAAAAAAATAACTGAAGTCGTCTTCATTTGAGAAAACTAAGATTAATTTTAGCACGTCTCTTTCGTTGGAATTTATTAGACAAGTTGTGATTTATTCACTCATTGAGAACTTTTAGTCTCTATACATAAATAATAAGCAACTTGTGATTTATTTACTTGTTGAGAATTTTTAGCCTCTATAAATAAGTGCAAAAATAAACGTAAATGCGGTGTTCGTTGCGCCGGATAGTAGATAAAACAGTGTAAAATGAAACAGTAAATTGCTTTGGAAAGCGGCTAGAGAAAACGAATAACCACGTATCAAACGTTTTATGAAGTTTTTAATTTACTTTGCTGTGATTAATTTACTTGCAAATATTTCGTCAGTTTTTTTGGACATTTCACGACTTGTAGAGTGCGCAACTGTAGGATCCCCGTTTCCGTTTTTGCTGCCTTGTGCTCGCAGAGTTAAAACGTAATTCAAAGTGTGATATTGCTCGTATGTACACCTACTCGAAGAGAATGGCCAAAAAAAAATACCACGATGATTTATCTTCTCAGTTTTCTCCAAGTGATGATGTCATCTGCAAAATATTTAAATTAACTTTTCTTCTACTGCAACTTTTACTTAGTCGATTTTACCGTGGGTTATGAAATTTAAATGTGCTAATAGCGGTGTTTTCATTCATTTCTAGTCGCAGCAAAAACGCTTTTAATCAGTTCTGTCCACATTCTAGCCTAATACATAAACCATAAGACACACCAAATACCAAATGTATCTCGCATCAAATATTCAAACGTTAATCTGCGGCAGTGATTAGTAGGAATAGAAACCCGTCTTTAAATTTTAAATCAAGTCAGTGTTCATCCATATTAGTACCGCCAACCAACTTTTAACAGCCGTGTTATCTCCGTAAAATTGTAATGTACAATTAATCACGCTTTTACGCTCATTAACCAAATTGAATTCCCGCCGAATTGTTTCCAACCCCAGCCAAATCGTCTCAGTTTTTCCAAAAACATTTTTCTTCGGCTATTATTTGCATAAAAGCTCTTCGTAAAGCCACTGCTTCGGGCTGAAAATTCCCAATCGTTTAATATTTGGCGATGCGGAAAGTTCGCGTTAATCGGAAACGATTCGTCCTTGTTTTAATCGCGTTACTTTCCGGAAGCTCGTGCGAGAATCGGCACAGCAATTTGATGACGTATTCGTGAACTTTCAGTGGTGAAAGTGTACGACTGACCTCGTTCATCACGCGTCGTACGCATGGGCGACTCGTCGGGAATTCCCGACGGGGACAAAAAATATTTCGAAAATTTTTCGTTTTGTCGAACCGAATTTATTTGCTAATTTAATTATTTTGTTACAGTTTGGACCGCGAGCAACCCTTCAGTTTTCAGTTGGGTGTCGGACAAGTAATTAAGGGTTGGGACCAAGGCCTACTCGATATGTGTGTAGGCGAGAAGCGAAAACTGACCATTCCTCCAAGCTTAGGTTATGGCGACCGTGGCGCCGGAAACGTCATTCCAGGTGGCGCCACACTTATGTTCGAAGTAGAACTAATTAATATTGGGGATTCACCACCAACTACCAACGTGTTCAAAGAAATCGATTTTGATAAGGATAACCAGCTGAGTAGAGAAGAGGTGAGGTCATGTGTGCTATACCGTGTGTTTGGATTTCGCTGACGTATTGTTAGTGAAAAATTCATGTACGGTATTAAATTTCTAATAAGAATGAGCTTCGAGCAGTCAGTTTTTAAGTGATTTTTTTTCTGCTGCAATATTTAGAAGAGCTAAAAAAACTTTTTCAACGCTTTCATTATTGGCCAACGGTAAACAACGAGCATTTTTTATTAAATAAAACCGTTTTCATAATTTAAATGTCGGCAGTTGAACATTAGTTATTTATTTTAATTAATTAAAGGCGTATTTAATTGTTTTCTTTTTTCATAGATGACTAAATTTGTCGGTTCAGTTGATAATAATCAAGGCACATTTCAGTGTTCGATAAAAACGTCAATTAATTAAAAAAAAATCTCTTCAGTGTTATTAATTTAGCGGTCATTTAAAAAATTGGAAATTGGCTTTGAAATGGAAAATTAGTCAAGATAAACAATATTTGAAAAAAAAAAACCTAAAGTTATTTAAACAGAACTTTCCTCGCCCCTGAAATACAATTAATGTCTTATCAAAAGTTTTAAGAGGTCCAATGTTTTAGATAAACCATAAAATATGATTCTTCAGATATGATTATCTATACGTTTAAACAAAAATAGATAACTTTTTAGGTAATGTTTATCGTTGAAGTGTAGGACCCACTTATTACTCATTGAAAACACTGGAAAATTCCGTTCGTTAATTTCATAATTTATTAATTAAAAATTATTAAATGTGCAGTAGTGTTCAGGATCATTCTATTAAATCACCCGAGAGTTATTAAAAAAAAAAACACGATCAAAGGTTTCCATGAATTTTTTGGAGATTTGTCTTTGATCATTCCATGTTGAACTTAAATATTCGAATTGACGGAACTCTGACAAGACGAAAATTCTATAAAAGACAAATTTTGAAAAATGACTGATGATTATTTAGTATCTGGATCCTACATTATTTTTATTTTTTTTATACTCAAATTTAAGCCTTTGTTTCTTGGCAGAAATCCTTTTTCCAGCATTGTTTAACAAATTTATTTGTTTCTTGGCATTGACGATTTTCATAAATTTGCCATGAAATTTCAGATTTGAATTTTTTTTTACTACCAACTTAGTAGTATAGAAAATAAATCTGTTTATTCCCCCCAAAAAATTGATGACGTTATCTCAAAATTTTGCCGAATAAATTCTTCTACCCAAAAATAACCAATGCACAATATGATGAATTTTTGCTTATGATTCATCATTGCATTCATATTTTTTATTGATCAAATTAAGAATGAGGCGCCCCATTTTCTTGAAAATGTGAAAATACAAACGTCTTTATTTAGTAAGAATTATAACAATGATATTCAGTACATTTTGTCGATTGTAGCTTACCACTTCATAGTTTTTGATCCTCCGTTTTGAGGGTACATCGGAAAAATGTTACCTAGAATTTTTTTTTGATTTGAATGAGTTTGTCGCCTCAAAACAGAGGACTAAAATTATTAATTCTTCCGAATATTATTATTCCATTAAGAAAAAATTGCAAATCGAAAAATTGAAGAACCCAAAAATTGAAAAATGGAAATTAAGAAATCGTGAAATTGAAAAAATGAAAAATTTTAAAAATTAGAATTATTAGATACATATTTAAAAGTGAAAACTTAAAAATCTAAAATTGAAAAAAACGAAAAATTAAGAAATCCAAATATTGAAAAGTTTCACATTGAAAAAAAGAAAAATCGGAAAATCAAAACATTGAAAAATTAAAAATCGATAACTCGTGAAATTGCAAATCGAAAAATTTAAAAATCTAATAACTGAAACATTCAAAAGTTGAAAAATCGGAAAACTGAAAATTTTTAAAATGAAAGCTCAGAGATGCACATCGTAAAATTGAAGAATCAAAAAAATTAAAAATTGAAATTGAAAAACAAAATCGGGACATTGAAAACGAAAAATTGGTCTAAAGTGTTTAGACAGTACTTCCCTCGCTGTCGGAAACGTGACGACTGCATGTCTATTATGTTTTTTTTCGCAGTAGATTTCTTTTTTTTTTTGAGTCACCCGGTATATGCAAATTCAAAAAATGTGAATGGAATGCTAAATTACAAGTACAGACTCATCATATTTTGTATATTCTAGATAGGATTTATTCGGCAAACTTTTGAGCTGACGTCATCAGTTTCTTGTAGAAGATAACAAAATATATTTTAACTAAAAATTTATTATGCTCTTGATAACCTTAAAACATTTGCAAGATTTCAAAGCATTCGGTTTTGTAGTTCCTCATTAAATCAATAAAATACATTTACCCATTCATTAATTTTTTTGGGTCACCTGTGTGTGGAAATCGAAAAAATTTGAATGAAATGATAAATGACAAGAAGAGACTCACCATATTTTGTACATTTTAGATAGGATTTATTCGGCAAAATTTTGTGGTGACGTCATAAATTTTTTAGGGGGGATGAGCAAATACATTTTGATCAAAAACTTACCATGCTTATGATAACTTTAAAACACCTTCAAGATTTCAAAGCATTCGGTTTTGTAGTTCCTGAGTAAATCAGTAAAATAAATTTACGCATTCATTAATTTTTTTGAGTCACCCTGTATATGCGAATCCAAAAAATACGAATGGTGATATATCACAAGCACAGACTCATCATATTTTGTACATTTTACATAGGATTTATTTGGCAAACTTTTGAGCTGACGTCATCAAGTTTTTGGAGGGGATAACCAAATATATTTTGAGTAAAGATTTATGATGCTCTTTATAGCCTTAAAACATCTGCAACATTTCAAAACATTCGGATTAGCAGATTCAAAATTAAATTGTAAAATGTTGTTTTATGATTTTGATTTTTTTTCCAAAAATCTGGAAGTTTCGGGTAAAAACTCAATTCGGAGTCGTAAACTACATGTTTAGGACTATATTATTTTATACAATTTAAAACACATTTACTATGTACAATTTTGAAGTGACGTCATCACATTAGTGGTGGGGATGATTAGACAAATTTTGGTTAGCGTTTTACCATCTACATGATATTCCTAATATAACTATAAAATTTCACAACAATCGGTCCAGTACTTTCGGAGATTATCTGTCTAATAAAAATCCGGGACGGCAGACAGACGGACAGACGGACGGACAGACGGACGGACAGACGGACGGACAGACGGAACAGACGGACCGACAGACGGAAATGGGAGATCTATTTCTTCGTCTTCTAGGGGTCATGAAAGATCGAGAAAACGTAAAAGTAGAGAGTCGGCCGACGGACTCGATTACAATACTTCCTTTGCTTACGCTCGGGAAGTAAAAATTGAAAAGTCGAAAAGTTGTAAATTGAAAAATTGCAAAATCTAAAAATTTAAGAAACGAGAAAAACAAAAAAATTGAAAAATTGCAAAAACTGAAAACTGTAAACTTGAAAATTAGAAAAATTGTAAATGCAAAAGTTGAAAATTCCAAAAATCGACAAGTTTCACATGGAAAAAATAATCATTAAAAAATCAGAACATTGAAAAAATAAAGAAAATATGAAACCGAAACGAAAAATTGCAAATAGAAAAATTCCAAAATCTAATAATTGAACATCCAAAAATTGAAAAATCACAAAACTGAGAATTTAAAAAGTGAGAACTCAAAGAGATACACATCGTAAAATTGAAGAAACAAAAAAAAAGTAAAATTGAAAGAATTAAAATTGGAAATCGAAAATTTGCAAAATCTAAAAACTGAAACATCCAATTTAAACATGAAAACTCGAAGAGATGCATATCATAAAATTGGAGAAGTAGAAAAAATGAAAAATTCTTGCAAAATGATATTAATATAGCTGTATTATACATCAAGCTGCAACTTTTTTCATGTTCTAAGCACCTAGAAACAATTCAATCAACCAAAAAAAATTCAGAAAGAAATGTCGTAAAAAAGCACCATCGTCTTCTGTTTTTTTCTGTTTTTTAGGTGTTAAATATCATAGAATCGTTTGAAAATCCTCACACTGACGTAGTAATGTATTTCAAAGACCCCTGTCACATTAAATATTTGGTAGTAGTACAGTTTATTTCAATATTAATATCTTTCTCAAAATCAAAATATACCATAAATTAATTACTTAATATGTAATTCAAACTGCATCCAAAATGATTTTAATTAAACTAGTGGAAAATTAGTGATAAAATCCTTAGCAGAGTTTTTAACAAAAACTAACAATTATTGGAAAAATGGGTTTGAATTCAACACTTTATTCTATCTAAGTGTTTAGGGATAACTGAAACCTGCAATGAGGAGGTGGAGCATCTAATACCCTCGCTCTGGGTACCGACAATAGTTTTGTGTGCGAAAGTATTTTCCGACAAGAATAATAAAAGATTTTCTGTCAATAAAAAGTATAAACATATTTTATTCACATTCTTAAAAGAAACAAGTTGCAGTTAAAAAAATGTTGAATACCGATTTATTTTTTTTTTTTCTCAATAAAAACCTAATAATAATAATAATAGTGTATCTATCTTCTCCACTTAAGTGACAAGTTTGATCGCGCGGTTATTAATACAAATTTACTTCACTGATGTGCCTTTTTTACATAATTCAGTACACAGAGCAACAATTTACAATTTAATATTTAAATAAATGTATATAAATAAATAAAAATCAAGTAGATTTTAGGAACAATTGCTGGTTGAATTTAGGATAGCAGATGATTGCTAATTCAAACTTGCCTGTTCCATTTTAACTGTCTGACGGTAGTCTTAAAGTACGTCCAAAATTACAGCAGTCGGACTAGTAGTTTCGGAGATTATATTTCTAATAATAAAGTCACCAACAAACAGAGGACAGATCGACGGAAAAGGGAACTTACGCCCGGGAATTCTAGTACAAAAAATGGCAGTTGTAGAAAAATAGAATACCACCTTGAGACAATTGTATGTATTTAAAAATTCTGATTAATATCACTGGCGGCTCGTGGTGATTTTTGATGGGTGGGCAAAGCATTATAGGTAGGTTATAACATGTATATATATATATATATATATAATCTGTTACCCTCTTTTACCCATTGGGTGTCGAGGGGGGAGACGCACCGAGCCGCTCAGATAGGTACGGCGATCTTGGCCACCCAACCACAAAGTGACTGCGGACAGCGTTGCTTCATGAGCATTATCGCTGTGCCGCGCTAGGGGCTATCTGAGCCGTACTGCTCCCTATAACATGTATTAAAAAGATATATATATATATATAATTAATCATCTTTGTGAGAACGTGTTTTTGTTTTGGTGCTGCATGTCAATCAATATAATGTAACAAAGATTTTATGTAAGTATATTACATATATATTATTTTATAAATATTACTTACAATGCCGTTCAGCAAGAACCAACGAGAACGTCGAAGATTCTTACTAGAAGAGGAAAGAGGAACAAAAAAAGGTTCAGCACTTAAATGGATTTGTTAGGAGTTTCTAGAACTATAAACTCAAATAATTATTCCAACATGTAAAGATTTTGAAATAACATGACGAGAAAACGTTAAATTTTAAACCTTTAAAATAAGCTACACTTGGAAAAAGCAGCAATTTGGAAAATTATTGTAAAAGCAAAATTAAAAATGCCAAATGAAACAAAAAAATAAATTCTCAAAATACTAACAAAGTTAACAATAACAAATAAAATAAAAATAATTCCAAAATAATCGTTCTGATTGGTTTTAGAAAGACCACTAATTACCAAAGACCCCTCCAAAAATTTTTTAAATTTATCATCGAAGTTACTTTAAGAGAAATTTGCGATTCATCTTGTCCCCGAAACGTATGTTTTTGTGTAGCCAAGAAAATTATCATATCGAATAAACGCCGAATTTAAGAGAATTTTCTATAGTTTCACTTCGTTTTCCAAGTAATTTTCGTTTATTCAGATTGGTCATGTTTTTGTAAGGCTGTAGCGATATATTTTATATCGCTCTTCTTGTGGAATTCTAAAGTGTTCGTAATTTAAGTAATTTTATGTTAAATAACAGACAATTCGAACAGTTTTGTTTGTTGTTTCACTACCGATCAGCCAATAGGTAATATTTATTGTTCGAATTTTGATTAAAGCCTTTATTACTGCCACAAGAGTTTGTGATGACTAATTGTTTCATTTCGGGACATGATCTTAATTTATAAACAAATAATTCATAAACATCAAGTTCCATGCTACTGAATTTATTTATTAAAAACAAAAACTCAATGTCTTTAATACCTTCTTTACCACTTCTCTAATATTATTTGCACAGCTTACTTGCCATTAAAAAAAATTGCTAAAAATTACCTACTTTGGTACCCGCCTAACGGTTTGGTAATTTGAATAAGCTACATTTTATAATGGGTCGTAATTAAGTGTGCATTATTTTTAATACTTTGTGCATTAAATTTTATACTATGCGCAATAACATTTGTGCATTAAATTTACTATGTTGCGCCATAAGTTTTTGCATTTTGTGCATTATATTAAGTGCAAATTGGAATAATAAAATTATTGTTTTGGGCAATGATTTTCTGTACTGCGTGCATTATTGAAACTGTATAGAAAATAACAAACAAAAATAGACCTGCTGTATTAAAATGTGTTTTATGAATGCATTCAAAATTAACAAAAACATAAGACATTCATAGCAAAAAAATAGCTAAACAAATTAAAAGTTTTGAAAAAATTAACAAAGAAACTTAAAATAAATATTCTTTCATCAAAAAACTGAATTACTAAACATTATTAATTTATTGAATAATAATAATTAATGCTTTTTTGGCTTTAGAAGGGCGGATTCCTTCCCTGCCGAACTGGCGCGAAATGAAGCACATGACACGTCCTTTAAAGAGTGGGAGTGTAATGCCCACTTTACTGTGAACTAATGCACATTTTAGTAATTTAAGGAACATTTGAAATGCTCGTTTATTTTTTCTCAAATACAAATTGATTTATTAAAGAAACAGTGATTTTAACGAATGAGCAAATTTAATTAAATAATTCTAAATTGCATTATTTATTGCGCAGATAGAAAAAATAATCTGCCATTATTTTATTTATTGCCCTTTCAGTTTTACAAATGCTGAAATAGTTTCTTCTGTGCTAAAATGTTTTTAATAATGCTGTGAGTTATTTCACATATCATTAAAACTAATGCGCATTTAAATTGTTCTCTTTTATAATCAAATGCACTATCCAGAATGCAGTTTCTGATCTGACTGAATTCAATTGAGTCGTGTCTCCGACGAGGACGAACCATGACGATTTTCAGGGTGGATTTACCCATCTGAATTAAATAATAAATTAAGCGTATATTTAACTTTTGTTGACTCTGTTACAGTTAACAAAGCATTCATTTTATGAAACAAAAATGCATATGTAATAATAAAAAAATACACATGTCACATACGTACTACAATAATAAATGTATTACTTATTCTCATCATTGGTTATTCGGATTTTTAAATTTATAATTCATTATAAAGTTTACACGGTGTTATAATACAAGAATATGGTTATTACAAATTTTCATTTGATATGAAAAAGTATTTATTAATTGATATGGTGTTGCTCTGTTCTATAAGAATATTATTTAAGAATTTTCGCATAACATTATTTTCCTTACCACCTTACCCATATTTCAATAGAGTAATAAAAACAATTACCTCTATACTTTTACAATACAAAAGAAGTAAAAAAATCGAAATTAATTTATTGAATCCTTGAATCGAATATCTGAGATCCGATTCTGCAGCGTTTGGGATATACGTTGACGCCCGGGCGTCCTGCCCCGCTTGAAGCAAGAAAACACGGATATGCAAAGAAGTGCGTTTCGAATTCTTTACTCTCAATCACGTTTCACGTACATAGAAAACCGAATGTATGTCGTTGCTTATAATCAGGAGGGTGGACAAGGGTGGACTAGCCCATCCTCACATGAACCGTATAACGCCGAGATCTGACGCACTCTGTTGCAACTGCAATTTCTCAGTTGCGGAATCTGCGGGATGTAATGAAGAAAATCCGTTGGCTTAAATGATGTTTATGACGATAATTATTTGTGTATACATATAAAATAATTTAAAAAAGAAAAAATCAATAATTTACTTCGTATCGTAAACAATCAAATAGGGTGGGCATTGCCCACCCTGCCCACCCCGAGGAGCCGCCACTGTATGATATACTATTTACAAAATTTTTTAATTGTGAATGAATAATGCCAGTTACGGAACAACTTCCCTCCATCAAACCACTCACATGACTGTGGGTTAAGCTAGTAGAGGGGCAGATTTTCGACCACGAATCGGCAGCAGTACTATCAGTGCGCATAATATCTATAAAAGAAAACATTCCGTCGGTTTTCGGGTTGTTTTTATAGGAAAAACACCAAGACCATTGTGGAATGGGTACTTTGTTGCCGTATAAATAAAGTTCAACTAATGTTCCAGCAGAATTTTTTACAGACGCGACATCCAACACGCCAACATAAGACAGCAAAGAATCATGATCAACACATTGTTTTTCATAACCCAACGTACTTGCGTCCATGGGAAACGTGTTGACAATATCCTCTTGCATTTTTTTAAGTTTCACATCAGGAAAGTCGCTTCTGGCTAAATGACCAGCATATTGTAAATTTCGTTGGTAATCCAGAAGGTGAAGTAATATTTCGGACGAATTATAGTAAATAGCATCCATATTCACATTGTACACATTTTCGCCAACAGTGAATGACTTAGAAGCGTCTTCTTTAGACGCCGACGTATTTGTCAAAATCGCATAAAACGGTGTTAGCTTTTGTTCATCGAAGCACACCGTAATCACCGGGGCAAACTGTCCGTAAATCGGTACTCCTATTTCAAAGAAAGTGAAGTCGTTTGCGCATTTCGTGCTGAGCTTCCTCAGTGATGTGATCGATGATTTCGGTTTACACGCAATTCTATCAAACTCCACAGTATCCGTCGTTCTGGTATTGATAAATTTGTCGGATTCCACACATATGCACAAGTCACCGTCTTCAGCGAGAAGAAAACTCGAAGTTCCTTCGCGACATTTCACGTAAAAAAACTCGCTTTGTTCAAAATCAACTGTTCCATTTTCGTTAGTTACTGGAATACTAAAATCTGCCCGAAACACAAACGGAGCTCTATCGGTTGAAACTTTGAATTCGCAGCCTGAAATGAGAATTACTTATTAAAAACGCACGATAAGTATAGTTTTTGCAAACTAGCACCGGACAGGGAAGATCATAAAATTTAGGCAACAATTAAGTGTTTAGAAAGACGGCAGATACCAAGACAATAGAACAAATAGAACAGAGTGCCCTGAGTATTGTTTCTAGGATTTTCTAGTGTCATAAATTTCGGTACGTAGTAATCCGATTAGGGTCGTCTTTGTTGCTTAATTTTTTTGATCTTCCCTGTCCGGTGCTAGTTTGCAAAAACTATACCGAAATAATTATTACGTACCGGATTTCACGCTGCCGACGAAGAGCACCACCAGAAAAATATTGTAGTTAAACATGTCGACGTCTTATCGAGTGACGAGTGATGTGATTTCTGATGTTTGAAATAAATTTCGATTATTATGGTTGCAAAACTGCCTTGGAAAGATAACGTTCTGATATAATCTGGCCTTTGTTGAAAAATTTACGTTTGAAGTGTTTACATGAAAGTAAGATCAGTTAAATAAAAATTTACGCAGCTGCTGAGATCGTGCTTAGTCGTGTCTTTATGTGTCGCAAAATCAATTTCTAGGTTTTACTTGCAATTGAAGTTTCGCTCTTTTTACTTCCCGAGCGTAAGCTAAGGAAGTATTGTAATTGGGTACATCGGACGAATGGCTCTTTCCATATTTGAAAAAATAGGTCGTTATTTCCATCTGTCTGAATCCGAGTTGAGTTTTTATCCTAAACAGCTAAATTTATCCATTTATGCCCTCGAAAAAATTGATGACGTCATCTCAAAATTTCGTCGAATAAATCTTCTACAAAATATGCAAAATATTATCAGTCTTGTGGTTTATCAATGCATTCATTTTTTTAGAATTACTTATAGGGTGACTCAAAAAAATTAATGAAGGAGGAAACCATTTTATTGGTCAAACAAGAACGCCCACTCCATTTTTCCCAAAATTTGAGTATACTGTACTGTTATTATTAGTATCATACTCCACCTATTCAAATTGATATGTGTTGAAAAAATTTTGGGGGAGGACATTCATTTCATTAATTTAGTTACAATGAAACAAATTAATGCTATGCGTCTGTTTCAAGTGCGTTTTTCCTTAACAAAAATGTGTGATGGTGTCATCAACATAGTTAATACTAGTCACACCGCAAGAAAAAAAATGGTGTAAATAATTATACGGTACTTCCCTCACACTTAGTGTGATTATTGTCAGGTCACTAATTTTTTTTAATAACATATATAAAAAATTCTACTTATAAAATATGTAAGTAAAAACAAATCAGACTCTAGCGACTTACACGCTTGCCGATTTTTTTTAGAACAATTTAGCTTTACAGGAACGCCTATAGGATTATTATAATAAAACAAATTCGTAGGCGTTCTTATGAAACCGCATTGCTTTAAAAAAGAATATCAAGAATGCGAGCGCAGCGAGCACGTTTAGGTGTTATTAAAAATTACTCGTCAGTATCCCTGAGAAGCTAAATTGTAAAAGAATTTTTTGTTGCTTGAAAAAGGTGAATCCTAAAATGTGATTATCTATTAAAGTTGGGTAGACTAGCAATCTGTACGTCCAAACGTGCTCGCTGTGCTCCTATTGTAAGGATGTGTTTAATTTAAAATCTAAAGATTTATTCTTACAATAGAACCCAAACAACTTCGGTAAGACTCTTTCCTGCACACTTCTATGACAACAAAGTTAAAAAAAAGAAGTTTAAAATGCGAGCGCAGCGAGCACGTTCAGGTGTAATAAGAAAAATATATTTATTGGTGACCCTGAGAAGCTAAATTGTTAACAACATTTTGTTTGTTATTATTAATGTCTGTGGGACTGAAACATCCTGAATGTGCACTGCAAAATACTTATTTCTTTACAAGAAAATAAAAACATGTTTTTGAGTATCGCTTGTTCAAAGAATGCCATGTGTATTAAGAAAAAACGGCAAAATATAAACCCCGCCCACCCACCCTATCTTAATTGTAATAATTTTTTTATTCTTAAGAAACTTGAAAGACGTTTAAAATGGCAAATTTTTGTAAGTAAATATGGATGTTGCAATTAAGCCCCGCCCCTCGATCTGACAACGAATAAAATATTCATCACAATTGAGAATTGAGATCGGGGCGGGTATGGGCCTAATCTTTGGCTTTATTTTTTTTTTAATATACCTAGTATTCTTTGCCTCTTTTTTCTAAATATGTGTAGTCATCTTTTCACAACAAGAAAGTTAAAATATGTTTAAAATGGTAAATTTGTATAGGGAAATATCGGTTTTACAATTAAGCTCCACCCCTCGGCTTACGACCAATAAAAAAATCATCAGAATTGAGACAGGGTGGGTGGGCGGGGCTACATTTTGCCTTTTTTCTTAATATTTGTAGACTTAATTCGGCAACAAGAAACTTAAAACATGTCTAAAATGAATTAATTAAGTTGAGACCTATAATATAATTCTTACCCTTCTTTTTATTAATATACATAACCATCTTTTCGCAACAAGAAACTTAAAACATTTTGCCTTTTTGTTTTAATATATCTAGACTTCTTTTCACAACATGAAACTTAAAATATATTTAAAATGGTAGATTTTTGGAAGGAAATATGGATTTTGCAATTATGGGGCGGAGCCTAATTGCAAAATCGATATTTCCTTATACAAATTTTCCATTTTAAACATATTTTAAGTTTCATGTTGTGAAAAGAAGTCTACACATATTAAAACAAAAAGGCAAAATATAAGCCCACCCACCCGCCCGATCTCAATTGTGATGATTTTTTTTTATTCGTCGTTAACCAAGAGGGCGGAGCTTAACTGCAAAATACTTATTTCTTTACAAGAAAATAAAAACATGTTTTTGAGTCTCGCTTATACAAAGAATACCATGTGTATTAAGAAAAAAAAAAACAATATAAACCCCGCCCACCCACCCCGTCTCAATTGTGATGATTTTTATATTCTTAGAAACGTTTAAAGTGGTAAATTTTTGTAGAGAAATATGGATTTTGCAATTAGGTTCCGCCCCTAGGTCTGCCAACGAATGAAAACTACTATTTAGATCAGGGCAGGTATGGGTGGGGCCTAATCTTTGGCTTTATTTTTCTTAATATACATGGTATTCTTTGAACAGCACGATACTCAAAAACAATATTTTAATTTCTCGTAGAGAAATAAGGATTTTGCAGTTAAGCTCCGCCTTCTTGGCGCACGACGAATAAAAAAAATCATCACAATAGAGATAGGGCGGGTGGGCGGGACTACATTTTCCTTTTTTTCTTAGTATGTGTAGACCTATTTCGGCAACAAGAAACTTAAAACATGTCTAACTCCACTTTTCCAGCAACTGCAATGCGGAACTTCAACATCAACAGCAAGTTTATAAATCCTAATTAATTTATTTACGTTGACAAGGAGATTTCGAGAATTATTATAATAGAAACTAAGTACCTTTGCTGACCGTTCATTCGTCAATTGTTACGACATTATTTTAATTAAAATAGAACAGTCAGAATGCGAGCGCAGCGAGCACGTTCAGGAGTAATTTAAAAAAATGTTGATTGGTGTCCCTGAGAAGCTAAATTATTAAGAATAATTTTCTTGTTTTTTAAAAATGTGAGTTTAACGATTGTTTGTTACTACAGTTCTCCCAGAGACGTTATATAGTGATCACAAAGAATCTTTAAACTGTTAGTTTTAAATAGCAACAAAAATCTTCATTAATTTATCTTCTCAGGGACACCTGTAGATAATTTTTTAAATTACACCTGAACGTGCTCGCTGCGCTCGCATTCTGACTGGTCTTTTTTGACTAATTTAGAGTCAAAAACATTTACGAATGGATGGTCAACAAGGCTACTTAGTTTTTATTATTACAATTCCCAAGATCTCCCTGTGAAAGTATTTTACTTCGAAAAAATCATTATTTCAAATGCGAGCGTAGCGAGCACGATCAGGATATTTCAGTCCCAGAGATATTACATTTAGTGATTACAAGTAATCTTTAAACTCACATTTTTAACTAACAACAAAATTTTTCTTAATTATTTAGCTTCTCAGGGACGCAAATGATAATTTTTTAAATTACACCTAAACGTGCTCGCTGCGCTCGCGTTCTGATTGTCCTTTTTTAATTACTTTAGTGTCATAAAATGACAGACAAATAAACCGTCAGCAAAGGTACTTAGTTTTTATTAAAATAAGTAATTCTCGAGGTCTCCTTGTGAAGGTAAATTACTCTGAAAAGATCAAAAATAAAATGCGAGCGTAGCGCACTTTTTTACAGTAAATTACCTTCACAGGGAGATCTTGAGAATTATTATAATAAAAACTAAATAGCCTTGTTAACTAATTCGTAAATGTTTTTAGGACACTAAATTAATTAAAACAAGAATGTTCAGAAGATGAGTGCAGCGAGCACAGTAATAAAAAATATTCGTTATTTCAAGATTTTACAAAATTGTTTCATTAATATGAACAATTTAGAAGCTAAACTATTAATGAGAGAATTTTGTAATCTCCAAAAAATGTGAATCTTGAAAACATTTATGAATACTGGTTGGAGACACTCTAGTAACTTGAACATGCTCGCTGCGCTCGCATTCTAAATATTTGTTTTTTGTTAAGTAACAAAGACAAGAGATTTATTACTGCCGCAAAACCTAGACAATTTGACTGAGATTATTTCTTAATAATTTTTGTGAAAGCCGCAAAAAAGAACGCTTAGAATGCGAGTGCAGCGAGTATGTCTAGGTGTTATTAAAAATAATTCACTGCTGTCCTGGAGAAGCTAAATTATTAATAGAAAAATGTATTTATCATCTACAAAAAAGTGAATCTTTAAAAACAGTTGTGATTACCAAAGTTAGGAGACTTCAACATTCTGGCTCTGCTTGGGTTATTTATTTATTATTACAATTGAACCCAAACAACTTCGCTAAGACATTTCTTGAATACTTCTGAGACTAAACTTTAAAAAAAGAACGTTTAGAAAGAAAAAAATTGATCTAAAGTTATACATACAATTTTCAAGAAAACGAGTTTGTTGGTTACTCAGTAAATTAGATTGATTAACTCTGTATAAGTAATTATTAAAAATCGGGGCGGCAAACAGATAGATGGACGGACAGACGGACTTGAGAAAACGTAAAAGTAGGGAGTCGACGGACGAACTCGATTACAATACTACAAAACAAATAAATTTTGATTAACGATTTATCATGATTGTTAACCTTAAAACAGTTTCAGAGTTAAATTGCAAAATATTGTCACACAATTTTAATTTTTTGGTTCTGGTTAGCGTTTAACTATCTACACGATATTCACAAATTCATAACAGGCATATAAAATTTGACAATTTAATAAAAATTGTAATTTTTTTTCCGGAATTTGGCCGTTTAAAAAACTTAAAGCGGAGTCATACATCACTAGTATATGAGTAAATTTTTATATAACGTTTAAATTATTTTAATTTAGAATCCTTTAACAAGACACCATCAAATTGTTGGTGGGGATGATCGGGTAAAGTTTGTTAACGTTTTAATGGTAAATGTATATATATGGCTTGATGATATTCCTGTTATATTTACATGCATCTGTCTAATAAAAATCCACAGACGAAAATGGGAAATCTAATTTTTCGTACTCTAAGGGTCATGAAACGTCAAGAAAACATGAAATTGACAAGTCGTTCAAGGGGTTCGATTACTATACTTCCTTATCTTACGTTCGGGAAGTAAAAATACAACTCAAGAAAAAGAAATATACAAATTGAAAAAAAAAAGATCAAATTAGAAAGGTTGTCGAAGTTTATTTCGACAGAACTGGAGGTCGGAAGAACAGGCAAAACCAGTTATTGCTGTGTAGGTAAGCGAAGAAAAATGTTGCTGCCTCGGTGGAATCAAACCACACGCCCCCCGCTTGCCGGGCAGGTATCCTGACCACTAGACCACGAGGCCGCTTATCTTTCTTCGCTTACTACTACTTATTATTGTGTCAGCACAACTCTTCAAAAGTAATCGAGCTCAAAGTTGAGATGCAAGCGATTGCTATTGTTGTCCGGAACAACCTCTTACAAAATGTGTGACACCTGTCATACATTTAAAATCCTTGATCTTGTAATACAGCCATGGGTAAAATTGTGTATAAATTTTTGGAAAACGATTATTTCATCGGCTTTCTTTTCAGGTTAGCGAATACCTAAAGAAGCAAATGGTGGCCGCCGAAGGCGAGACGCCGAGCGAAGAAATGAAAAACATGTTGGCCGACCATGACAAGCTCGTCGAAGAGATCTTCCAGCACGAAGACAAAGACAAGAACGGATTCATATCACACGATGAGTTCTCCGGTCCCAAACACGACGAATTGTGAACGACTGACGACGTAGTTTATAGCAAACGCGGTGCGAGGTTATAGACTGCAACTTCTTTTTTTACTTTTTATACAGTGTGTTGCGGACAACGAAATTGGGAATTTTACTTTGTTTTTTTCAGAATTATGTTCGCTCGACAACACATTCCTGGGAAAACGTAATTTATTTTGAATTTTGTTTCGGCTTACAATTGTTATATTCATTCACTATAGATACAAGTTAATTTTAGTGCAATCTATTGTATGTTGTTATACTATTAAAGTTAATAAACGTGTTTCTAATAAATAAGATTTTTGTGTGTATAATTAGGTGGGGGCGGTTAATGAAACTCGGTGTGTAATAACAAAATTTATTTATTATCGGTAAATTCTTTAGTGATCTACCTAGTAACATAAACACAGCAATGGAAAAAAGAAATTAAAAAAAGTCCATAGAAACTTTACCAATACAGTAATAGTCTTGATAACCTCAAAATGAGTCGCAAACAAAATCCACTCACGCCTAAAGAAAAAACAAAAACTAATTTACGATAAAACCAAGACTAGTGTGGTGTGTGGCCATTTTGAATAAGGCACGTTATAAAAACAATACATTCAAACAGCGCTGTCCTCATCCCTCACTATGATTAATAGAAAATAAATAAAACCTAACCTCTAAATGTGCTCCTAACTAGCTCTTTCTTCTTTTTTCATAAACAATACAAAAAAACAACAAAGATGAGTGAGCAGCTACTTTATCACATAACAAAGTCAGTTGTAAATAGTATACATTGAACATCTCACAGATGCGCTAAATAAATTAAAAGAAAATTTCCCTAGTTGCAGGATTTGGCACCAGGCAGATCTAGTAGCCTTTGATGTAAGCCGACAGGTGCTTCTTCTCCTCTTCTGACAGGCCGTTCTTCAGGGTCCTTCGCACTAAACAGAAACAAAAATTAATTGATGAAGTCAAACAAAAATCGACCACACACAATTAAAAATCCACCAAAAAACACACCTAACTAAAACGGAAAAATAATAGTGGATCATGAACGAGTAAATTAAAATCTACCCTAAACTCTCAGATCTAAACAAACATGCACATGCTATCGCAAGCGCACCACATACCCCCATTTTAGGGCGAATCTCTGCTACCGAAGGGATTGTTCTCTCTTGTGCGAGAGCGCTTCACTGTTTACCACCAAACAAAGAATCTATACATTTAGCTCATTGGGGGGTTTTCTACTTACGCGATTTCCTGTCAGCGTGTCTCGTTCGCTTCCGTTCGCGGGGTGCCGTCCTGGTGGGTCCCTTAGTAGCAGTCTTGACGAGAGTTTCCAGGATTTCGTCGTCGCCGTCGGTGAGGTTACCGTTTGCTTGGCCTAGGAACGAACGGTTGGAGTCTCTTCGGGTGCGGCGCCAGGGCAACGTGCCTTGGAGACTCTCCACGTCGGAAATGTCGCTACCCAAGAGTTGGCGAAGTTCGGCATCGGCGCGGTCTTCCTTGGTGCGGAATTTGCCGATCTGTTAAACGAAGTTATTATTTACTTCTCAATCGAGATTTTGAGAGAAACAAATAAACTATTTCTGCGTGTTACTTGGCTTAAATAATGCATTCATGTTCCCGTTGTTAGTTCCGCGGTAGTCATTACTCGTTTAATTTTATTGCAGTTACTGGGACACGTATTGTGATGTTGTGCTGGAAATTTAGAGGGTTGAAAGTTCATTTAAATTCCCAATAGTGGTGCAGAAGTTCTGACATCATATTGCCCCGTAGGGTCGCCACAACATTATCCTACACTGAATTACGAGTTGAACGCAGCGAGATGCATACAAAATAGGGGTCATTAAATGTACAATAATTCTAAGTAATTACCCGGTGGTTAAACAGATAAAATCCGGCATACAAAACGTGTGCTTTTGTGGTGTTGGTGGCGTAATGGATATTTTTTATTTACATTTATATGGGGATATCTTTTAATTAATAACGGGCACAGTGAAAACGGTATTTGTTTTTTTATTACGAAAAATTCATTATTGCGACACACGTTGGGTATAAATTTGGCGAAAACGATTCATGTAATTTATCAACAATCAATAATTTCAACGATAACACGATTGAGCTGAACACTGAAGCGTAATAAACAAAACGAAAGCTGGAAACACTCGGACTGGTCAAACTTTGTTCACGCGATTTATGCTTTGGGGACAAGTTTGAAATTTTATAGTGAATGGTGTGGACGTGATCGATACTTTCAAATGATACCCGGCCATGGTTGCGTATTTTAAAACGCAAAAAAATTACTACATAATGACGCCATCAATTTTTTGGTGGGGATAAATATTAATATCGCAATACATCCAGAGACATGCATAATATGAGATAAACTGTAAAATTAGTTTGAATACTATAAAAAAATCTGTATTTAAAGATCAAAGGCAACCCGGATTTTTGACGATTTGTCTTTGATAGAAGATAGATCAAAGACAAACTTTCAAAAATCCACAGCTTGCTGCCTTTTGATCGTAATTTTTGTTGCTCTCTCGGTACCAATAATAATATTACTGTCACAGTTTCAAGAGTTAATCTATAAAGCAAAATTTTACTAATTTTAATAAATAAACAAAGTAATGCTGAATCTCGGGGTCTAATTTTTCTCATGATGTCATTAATTTTCTTAATAGGGTAAATAAATAAATGTAGGTTCTAAAATAAAGTACCTATAAGAACTCAGTATGGAACTAAACTAAACAGTAATTTTCAATATTTAGTAAATTATCTGCAAGTTTGTGTCATAATTATGAAAACTAATTTTTTATCTCGCTCCATTTGTATTAAATGTATGAAAACATTGTATCGTTGGCAAGGTCTCGATAAAAACGCAGACCCAATCATGACTCATTTCGACTTTTTGTTTACACCGTTGTCTTGGAAACCACGCCTTTACTCGGTGTGTTTGGCTGCAATCGAGTCGCAGTAATTTAAGTACGGGAGGTTATTTTCATTCTGCGCGACTGAAATTGTTTGATATTAAATAATAATAATGAATTCAGTTGAATATTTAATAAAATAAAGTGTTCATGGCAAAACGAGAGACTTTCGTAAATATTTTAATATTCATAACACGTAAGATAAATTTTTGTGATGTGCGGTTGTAAAAACTAAATTGTTTTGATTTGTGTGCCTCCTCAGTAATGATTTACAACTAAAGGTATGTCGACAAATACTCTTTTAGGTTTATTGAATGTATTTTCGTCACACAATTTCGTCTATTAATCGGTAATAACAGCCCGTTTTATATCTTCATATTTAATTTATCAATCAAATTGTGTCCGTTGATCAATGTTGAGAGAAAAACCTTTCGAAATTATCATTCGTTAAATTAATTTCTTCGGAATGGGAGCGGTATTTAATGTTTATTTTGTCTTATATTTGCGTATTATTTTCGTACAGTTTGAGTTTGAACATTTATTCTTGATTCTAGATTAATATTGGTTGCTTATCTCCTGGTAATTCTAGAACTCGTTCAGTTATCGTTCTAAATTCTACAGATTACATAAATTTGTTCTAGATCTTATGCACGAGTTGTACGCCCGCGAAATATACAGGGTGTGCGAAAGTTCTAGTACCGTCAATTATCTTATTTTTGAAATATTATCTTATTATTTGAAAATTTAGTGATGACATCTTCAGTTTTTTTACACTTTCAGTTTAACCGGAAGTGTTATCTATATTATATTTTTAAAATTAAGCACCCCGTACTTATGTATTGTTTCATTTTTAGATGCGAAATAAAACATTACGTTCAATTTGAATATTATTTATAACTAATATTTAATGTTAACATCCGACACCAATGGATTGTGTATTATTCTATTTATTGAAAAAAAAAAAATTAACTTGAGTATCATGAGTAAGTAAGATAACAATCAAAGATGTTTCCAAAGACAATTAATTATTACTTATAAATTATAATTAATTTTGATAATATATAAGATATGCCATGTGATTTTTTAAATTTTTGCTGTAGTTAGCCATGATGTTTACGTCGGTCGTTTCAATTGCACTGCTGACGTACGCGTCATGGCCATCTAGGACAGAAATTTAAATTTTTTAAGAAATCACACGGTACATTAGTTATTTGGGAAGAAAGTTTCTAAATTATTGTCTAAACAGCAGACATTGGACTTAAAAATGGTGGTAGTTAATTTTGTAGATAAATAAACATGGAAAAACATTTAACATTATCAAAAAATTGTTGGTAATTCTGAAATTATTGGCAATCAATTCACAGTTGTCAACTTTGACAGGAGCGCGCTTTATAAGCGTGATGACATGTCTTGGTGTCCTAAATTTCATCTTGACAATCAGGTATGCCATAATAAAATTTTAAATATGTTGTCAACGTGACCAAAAAAAAAAAGTGAATGTTAAAAATTATATGAAAATAGAGCATCCATACACAATTACTAAACTTGTTTTTGCCATATTTTAAATTTGGTGCTACGAAATCCACCAATCGAATCTGGTGCTTGACTTAAAAGTTTCACTGTTGCCAACTTAAATGTGAGCTGGTGTTTAATTAATGTTTTACTCGCAATGTATTATTGTTTTTCTTATTATTATTTATTTGAATTATACCTAGTGTATTACTGATCTTTACGCTTTAAATAATACTTTTTTATCGGACGAATGGCCACTTTTAAATTATCTCGACGTTTCATGATCCCCAAAATACGAAAAAAGTAGTCTCCCGTTTCCGACTCTCTATCTGTCTGGTGTCTATCGATTTTTATTAGACACGTAATCTCCGAAACTGTTGTCAAATTTTGTATGTATATATATTAGATGATATATGAAGAAGGTTAAATGCTAATTAAAATTTTGCTAAACATCCCCACCAACAGTTTGATGACGTGATTTCAAAGAATTCTATGTTTATTTGATTTAACTATTATACAATAATATAGTCCCGTAAGTGTGCTGCACAAGTCCGTTTTGAGTTTTTCCCTAACCGCCCAAATTTTTGCTCAAACATAATGCACGATTTACCATTGCAAATTTGGCCTTTCGTTTTTTTCTTTTTTCTTCTCTTTTTTTCTCGCATCGTGTATTATCTATGTTTATGACAAATGAACAAATTTTTTATTGATTTTATTTCTCGAAAACGTGATAAAACGTCCCTCTATATTTCAAAATGTAAAATCTTCTTGGGGGTGACAAACGTCTTTTTTAAAAATGTAAAACCTTCTCGGGGGTCCCAATTTTCTTTTTAAAAAAATATAAAACCTTCTCGAGGGCGCCAAATCTTTTTTTAGAATGTGAAACCTTCTCGGGGATCCCAATTGTCTTTTTTAAAAATGTAAAATCTTCTCTGGGGCGTTTAATGTTTTTTTTTAAGAATGTGAAACTTTCTCAGGTGTTCCAACTGTCTTTTTTTAAAATGTAAAACCTTCTCGGGGGCGCTAAATGTCTTTTTTTAAGAATGCGAAACCTTCTCGGGGGTCCCAACTGTCTTTTTTTCAAAATGTAAAACCTTCTCGGGGGCGCCAAATGTTTTTTTTTTTAATACGAAACCTTCTCGGAGGTCCCAACTGTCTTTTTTAAAAATGTAAAACGTTCTCTGGGGCGCTAAATGTCTTTTTTTAATGTAAAAACTTCTCGGGGACGCCAAATGCCTTTTTTTTAATGTGAAACCGCCTCGGGGGTCCCAACTGCCTATTTTAAAAATGCAAAACCTTCTCGGGAACCCCAAATGTATGAAACCTTCTCGGGAACCCCAAATGTATGAAACCTTCTCGGGGACTTCAAGTTTCTTTTTTTTAATGTTAAACCTTCTCGGGGGTACCATCTGTCTTTTAAAAATGTAAAACCTCGGGAAATCCAAATGTATTTTTTTAAGAATGTGGAACCTTCTCGGTGGTCCCAATTGTATTTTTTAAAAATATAAAACCTCGGGGTCCCAACTGTCTTTTTAAAAATGTAAAACCTTCTTGGAGGCTAAATGTCTCTTTTTTTTAATGCAAAACCTTCTCGGGGGTCCCAATTTTCTTTTTTAGAAATATAAAGCCTTCTTAGGGGCGCCCAATGTTTTTTTTTTAAATGTGAAACCTTCTCGGAGGTCCCAACTGTACTTTTTAAAAATGTAAAACGCTCTCGGGAGCGCTAAATGTCTTTTTTTAATGTAAAACCTCCTCGGAGGTCCCAAATGCCTTTTTTAAAAAGGTAAAACCTCGAGATTTCCAAATGTATTTTTTTAAGAATGTGAAACCTTCTTGGTGGTCCCAATTGTATTTTATTAAAAATATAAAACCTTCTCGGGGTCCCAACTGTCTTTTTTAAAAATGTAAAACCTTCTCGCGGGCGCTAAATGTCTTGTTTTTTTTAATGTAAAACCTTCTCGGGGACGCCAAATGTCTTTTTTTTAATGTGAAACCACCTCAGGGGTCCCAACTGTCTTTTTTTAAAAATGTAAAACTTTCTCGGGAACCCCAAATGTATTGTTTTAAGAATGTGAAATATTCTCGGTTGTCCCAATTGTCTTTTTAAAAAAATATAAAACCTTCTCGAGGGCGCCAATTTTTTTTTAGAATGTGAAACCTTCTCGGGGATCCCAATTGTCTTTTTTAAAAATGTAAAATCTTCTCAGGGGCGTTTAATGTTTTTTTTTTAAGAATGTGTGTTCCAACTGTCTTTTTTAAAAATGTAAAACCTCGGGGACCTCAACTTTCTTTTTTTTAATATGAAACCTTCTCGGGGGTCCCAACTATCTTTTAAAAATGTAAAACCTTCTCGGGGGCGTTAAATGTCTTTTTTTTAAGAATGCGAAACCTTTTCGGGGGCCCCAAATGTCTTTTTTTAAGAATGTAAAACCTTCTCGGGGGTCCCAACTGTCATTTTTAAAAATGTAAAACCTTCTCGGAGGTCCCAACTATCTTTTTTAAAAATGTAATACGTTCTCGTGGGCGCTAAATGTCTTTTTTTTTAATGTAAAACCTTCTCGGGAACCACAAATGTATTTTTTTAGGAATGTGAAACTTTCTCAATGGTCCCTATTGTCTTTTTTAAAAATGTAAAATCTTCTCGGGGGCGCTAAATGTCTTTTTTTAAGAATGTGAAACCTTCTCGGGGACCTCAAGTTTCTTTTTTTTAATATGAAACCTTCTCGGGGGTCCCAACTATCTTTTAAAAATGTAAAACCTTCTCGGGGGCGTTAAATGTCTTTTTTTTAAGAATGCGAAACCTTTTCGGGGGCCCCAAATGTCTTTTTTTAAGAATGTAAAACCTAATCGGGGGTCCCAACTGTCATTTTTCAAAATGTAAAACCTTCTCGGGGGCGCCAAATGTTTTTTTTTTAAATACGAAACCTTCTCGGAGGTCCCAACTATCTTCTTTAAAAATGTAATACGTTCTCGGGGGCGCTAAATGTCTTTTTTTAAGAATGCGAAACCTTCTCGGGGGCCCCAAATGTCTTTTTTTAAGAATGTAAAACCTAATCGGGGGTCCCAACTGTCATTTTTCAAAATGTAAAACCTTCTCGGGGGCGCCAAATGTTTTTTTTTTTTAATACGAAACCTTCTCGGAGGTCCCAACTATCTTTTTTAAAAATGTAATACGTTCTCGGGGGCGCTAAATGTCTTTTTTTTTAATGTAAAAGCTTCTCGGTGACGCGAAATGTCTTTTTTTTAATGTAAGACCTTCTCGGGAACCACAAATGTATTTTTTTAGGAATGTGAAACTTTCTCAATGGTCCCTATTGTCTTTTTTAAAAATGTAAAATCTTCTCGGGGGCGCTAAATGTCTTTTTTTAAGAATGTGAAACCTTCTCGGGGACCCCAAGTTTCTTTTTTTTAATGTTAAACCTTCTCGGGGACCTCAAGTATCTTTTTTTTTAATGTTAAACCTTCTCGGGGGTCCCAAATGTCTTTTTTTCTATTACACGCGACGGAAGTTTTGTCGAAATAACTTTCGATCAATTTTTTTGATAAACAAAGAACTCTGTTTTTCTTTTATAAATTTTTGGTGTAATCAATTTTAGATTATAAATTACGGCTAGGGTTGTTTACTATCGGTGCTACGGTAACGTATAAAACTGGCACAGCATAAGTATTACATGTTTTTGTTTTGGACCCCACTTTCAAGCGTTATGCGACTTTTTAATGAAAACTTTCAGTATAAGCGATATATTGGAACAAAAGTAATAACACTATTTCACATTTAGTCATAATTTTTTTAAATTTTGAATGAAAAACGCATTTAGTCCAGTATGCACCACTGTCAGTTAAATTGAAATGAAACATAACCTTAAATTATTTCACTAACTAATTGTCAACTCGAAAAATGTAATTAACTCGAACAAGAACACTTATACGTACATCTGTTATCATTTTCCCTCTGGTCTTATTCCTCTCTCTATGATTGGCTTTCTTCTCCAACTGCTGCAAAACCCGTTCTCTCGTAGTCCGATACTCCAAAGCGAACTCCGACACTATTCTGCAGAACTCGTTAGGCTTAGTATCAGATATTTGATGCAAAGGAATCCCTAACCATAGTAGGAACTTATGAAATCTGCAAAAACCAAAATTAACCAAAACAACACCAAACACCCCCTCATCAAACCTGTTCATAACTCTTCTGTGTATAATTCCAACAAGAATAATCCTCTCGGCACAATCCGCTAGAAAATCGGACATCTTCACTTTCATCATAGTGGATCCATCGTGTTTGGCGATTAGTTTCAAATGGTCCCATGATGCTTTGCAGTCTGCTTCTAGTCTTTGTATATTAAGAGAAAGCTCATCGAAATCGATTTTGGAAGCTCTGGTGATAGCACCAATCTAAAACCCCCTATAAAATTTCAACATTCCAAAAATAGTAAAACGTACCTCTGAATACAAGTCGGTGGCATCCGGAAACTTCTCCATCACAATATGGCATAAATGATGCAGCAAAGAGTGCTTGTGCACCGTGTCCTTGACTTCAGGTACTTTGGCAAGATAATCAATTTGGAATCCCTTCACCTCATTCCCGTTCAAAAAATTCCCCACCGAGAGTAACGTACTCAAAATCCCCCTAAACGTCTTATTCGCCCTCAAGATCTCTATTCCGTGCTTGAGATCCATCAACGGCTCTGCGATCTCCCTCTCCGAGTTCTCGAAGTCTAGCTTGAAAGCCCACAGTTTGAGCCTCGCCGGTAATTCCGAAATTGACGCTAAAGTCAAAAGGAACTGTTCGGCGCTACCTAAAGGCAAGTCTGGATTGGCAGCTTGAGCCTCTTGGATTTTCGACCTCTCCTCTTCCGTCGGCAGCATGGTGAGGAGCTTCTCGATACCTTCGCGGTTCATGATGGTGGCGTCCATTTTCAAGATGGCGGTCTTGATGGAACGTGGAGGGGGTAACTTGGTCATGCCTATATTGATAGCGTTGGAACGTTTCGGATCGAGCACGATGATTTCTTTGTTTTTGTTCATTTCTTGTTGTTTCTGAAGGGGTTTGAGTGTTAATATTGTGATAGTTTTGGGGGGTGAATAGAAAGGGTGACCACAACCATTTACCATGCTCTAGACTAGTTCAAGACAGTTCGTTCAGTCTGGAGAGATTATAATTAACAATAGAGTGGCCCAAAAAGCAAATTTTGTCCCTAGATTTTGCTAAATTTTTGATCAAGCACACCAATGTAAATGCAATGCCACAACCTGACATTCTGGTAGCACTACTGCAAGAATGTAAGGTTAAGTTTAAGAGTTCCCCTAGTAAAGAAGTAGAAATAAAGGGAGGTGTCAAGGGCCAGTATACGATATCTACGACAGTGCTGCCAACTACTTGTTGACTTTACGAAGCGTAAATTAAAAGTATATTTTTACAGAGCACACACACATTGAAGTTTTCGTTTAATTTCACATTAACAAATAAAAACGTCAAAAACACGTAAACTTGATACAGGGGGTGACGCGTTTCGCCAACGACGTTGCCACCATTAGGTTACTTTATTACAGAAATTGTTTGTTTCGTCAGCGAAACGCCTGAGTTATATTTTGGGTTTTTTAAATCATGAAACACATTTTCTGTCATAAAAAATCACTATTAGGGGAATGTTTAAATTACGCTTCGTTTTGTTGGTAACACTGTAACAGCCAGGGTAGTGCAAAAAACAAAATGCATAACTATGCCATCACCACCCAACTGAATGACTCACCTCCTGAGGCCATGCCAGGTGCGGATCACCAAAGAAAAAAAGAAATAATTACATAAAATGAAGCTTCAAATTCGTAGAAATGCTTCCACCAAAGAAATGATTGGAAGATCTCCTGTACCAGAAAACCCTAACTCTATACCTTACCTTCGTGATCAGATCCTTGGCCCTCGATTCGAACAAATGTTCCAACTTCTGTGTATCAACAGTAACAGGCTTCAGCTCATCCCAGATAAACCCAGTTTTCAATTTAGCAACACATAAAGCATCCTCCCGAACCTCCTTCCAGAAAAGTTTAACCGTTTTCTTATTCTTCTTTATCGGTATCTTTGTCTCCGACTGTTTATTCACCCTTGGTAAAGTGATCCCGAATACCGGGGGATTAGGCACAGGTGGCGGTCCCTTATTGGTCAGCGGCGCCGAAAGAGGGGGAGGAGGCGGGGCCCCGTTCTCCTTCAACGGAGGTGGGGGTGGCGGAATTCCGTTTACCACAGCCACCGGCGTCAGAATATCGTTCTCGTCATCGCTCACTAGATCAGTAAAATCCATATCACACAAATTCAGCGGTCTATTCAAATTCGCAACCAACTCCTCCCATCTGAGCTCATTCTCGGACTTCTTCACTTCTAACTTCGGAACATTCTCCGAGGTGGGACTCTTAATCACGTCGGCTTTGGACTTGGACTTGGCAAGGCCTTCTTTGGCTTTGGAGATGAGTCCCGTCATGTCGCCTATCCTGTTTGGCTTGTTTTCGTCGGAGGGACTGTGGAGGATGTTTTGGTTGGCGAGTTTCTGGGTTAGATCTTTCACTGTGTTCTCCCGCTTCAGTTGGAGGAGCACGTTTCGGTCGTTTTCGTTCGTGTTTTCGGTGTTATCGTCGATGGGGGGTTTACCATCGTCGTTGTAAAGGATCCACGGTTGTTTAGTGAGGTTTTCTTCGGAGTCGAGCTTGTTGACTGCGTTCATCAAAGGAGTAATGTCTTTGCGGCTGAGGTTGAGGTTGCCGTTGGTGATGCGTTGCTGGAGGGCGTTGGTGTAGTTCCCTAAAAGTTTTATTAGTATACAAAAACCCTACTCGAAGCTGAATTCCAATCAAAAATAAGCAAACAAAAATTTTAGACGTGTTTGAAAAGCCAAGCTAAGCCTACTCACCCAGCTCGTTCTCATTTTTGTCTTCCTCGTTCTGCGACGGCCCTCTCAAAAGCGCCGCAGACTCCTGCTGCTCCCTCATGAAACTCCTCTGTCTCTCCGCCCTCTCCCTCCTCCTTCGTAAAGCAGGCGTGACGCCAGCGTCAGTTGCTAAGCAAAGCCACACGTGAGCACACCGCCACAGCACGCACGAAACTCACCTTTAATACTATCCTTATAACAGCCATTAAGTTGAGAAGTGTTAACTTCAGAAGACTGAGAACTAGAAGACTCATTATCATCCTCCCTGTTCATCTGGACGGACCTATTATTCTTGTTCCTACTCAAAGGGGGATGATTATTAGGGGCCGTACCAGTAGAATGTCTTCGACTCTTCCTTCTTTCGTTAGCCTCAGACATGGACTTCCTGTTTCTCAAGGTCTTTCTTATACTTTCGTCCAAATGCCGAATGGGAGTCCCTCCGCTTTCTTCGCCGTCTTCGTACTGAAGAACGGCCTCATAAATCTGGAACTGCTGTAGCAAATCCAAGTCAGTTCCAGGTTTAGACATGTATCGCTGGATAATTCGCTCGATTTCTTGCTCCTCCAAAGCGTCGGTTTGGTCGTAGTAGGTGTCTTGGTCTGGGACACCATTCAGCACTTTGTTGATCAAAGTGGTGGCGTAAATCAACAGCTCGGTATCAGCGGAGTCGAAGTCTTTAAGCAGCTTCATGATGTTATACCACGGTAAAACTCCCTGCGCGTAGTCCACAGTTTGGATAGCTTTGATTAAAAGCATGCAGTTGGAGTCTGTGTACTCCACGAAGACCAGCAAGAGTTTCAGGGCTGTTTTGACCACCAGTCTGAATTTAGACGAGATGAGGCTGTACAACCATTGGATGGTTTGGTTGTGTTCCATTACTCCGTTCATCCCATCGACGTACAACATCACCTGACCTAAAGCCCTCAAGATGTAGTTTTGGTAGTTCTGGTCGGCTTCTGAGCCGACTTTGATTAAGCATGATAATCCGTCGTTTTGGACGAACTCGTGCACGAGGTCTTTATCCTCTTGGAAGATTTGTTTGAGGGAGAAAAGGGCGCGTCGTAATTCTCGGCCCTCAGATGTAAGAAGTTTTTCTGTAAAAAAAAAATAGAAGTTGATTTAAAAGGGTTTGGGTGATATTCTGACTTCAATAAATCACAAAACTTTTTTGAATGATATTTTAGCACACTTGTGGAGATTTTAGAAATACATTATTTTATAAAAATTTAAATAATATTTACTACGCCAAATTGTTAGTGGAGATGAAATACACGACAAATTTACATGATATCCCTACAACACACGTAAAATTTTGCAACAATGAATCCAGCAGTTTTAGAGATTAGGAGACCTATTTTTTCCATACTCTAGAGGTCATGAAACATCAAGACAACATTCAGGTAGTTCTTCGTCAAATGGATCCTGTTATAATACGCTTGGGAATTAATAAACAAGAAAAAAATCAATAAACTGAATTTTCAGATTGATCAACGCCAAAGTTTTTTCCTATTCCCGTCTCTAAATCCTTGTTTAACTAACGAACGTAAATGCACGACGCTAAACGATGTTTTAATCATAGTTTCATAATCCGTGGCCTTGGACTCATTAAACACGGGCCGAAGATGCGTTTGGGTTCATTAGTCATGTCTTGAGTGCGTTCAGTAGTTTTCGTGTTCATTAAACACGGCTTTGCTAAAAATAGTCTGAAATCTTGTCATGTCAAACCGGTATCGGGGAGCGCTCAAATTTTTTTAAACACTCGCTTCGCTTCTCCAGTGATTAAAAAATAATAAACTTGTGTTTAAATAATTGTTTTTGAATAATTTAATGTTACAACTGTTTTTTAATATATGAAGATTTTTAGGGTGCAACACTGGTAAATAGCTCCTCCTTTCAAAAATAATTGTTGGTCTACAATGCTACCGGTGGTCGATTCAAAAATCTTCACTGATAAAGAAAACCCGCTTGGTAAAAATTGGGGACCACGGTTTCGTAACAAAAGAAGATTTTTTTTAGTAAATTGGAAAATATAGTAAAATTACATTATTAGAATATCCAGTAGAAATAAAAATAGATTTATTGCCCGAAATACGGGCAAGTCAGAATAAAAAGTGAGTTACTCCTTACATATACAGGAGGGCTCGAAAAAAATGGTTAAAAAAATCCCTGCACCAAACTTTTGAACTGCTGTGTAAATTTAATATAACTTACTAGAATACGATCCACTTTGTCATTTTTAACATTATTTATCGAAATTTAAATTGGCAATTAAATTCATATTAAAACATAACAGAATTTTCTTAATTAATTAAGTTGATTCTTCAACTTTGAAGTTTAATACTTTGAAAAATTTGGTTCAAGGATCTTTACTTCCCGAGCGCAAGCTCAGGAAGTACAGTAATCGAGTCCACCGCACCCTCGGCCACTTTTATATTTTCTCGACGTTTCATGACCTCTAGAGTAAGAAAAAAGTAGTCTCCCGTTTGCGTCTGCCTGTTTGTCTGTCTGTATCCAATTTTTATTAGACACGTAATCTCCAGAACTACCGGACCGATTGTGGCCAAATTTTGTATGTATATTGTGGATGGTTAAATGCTAACAAAAATTTATCTAATTATCCTCACTAAAAACGGGATGCCATTTTCTTAAAATTTTTAACAATAAATATTTTTTAAATTTTATAAAATCACATACTTCTACACTTACAGTTTAAGAATCCGCGCTTAGTTATAATCACAATTTTTTTACAAAAATGCGCTAGGGAGGTTCCAATGTCATTCCCATCCTCGTTACATTTTTTTTAGCAAATCAAGTTCACCTCATTTACTCGAAAATTATAGCCATATCACACCGCAAATAATTCGAATTCTTTTGAACTATAAACATAAATACTCAAAGTTGACCGTGTAATTCCTATGAGTTAAACTGTTCGTTAAATATATTTTATGTCGTTCGAATTTTTCAAATTTATAATTGTTCAAAGACGCGCGATTTCTTTAAGGAGCCCATTTCTCGAAAATGTGAAGAACACGTCTTTATAATAATAATGACAAAATAATAATGACAAATAAAGAATTTTTAGGACATTGTGTTCGATTGCGGTTTAATTAATAATCTGTTTTGAGAAGATAAACTCATTCAAATTAAACTAATTTCTACGTGACATTCTTTCAATGTATAAACATAAATAAACACTTGAGCTTCAGACTGCTATTACCTAGTGCTGAAGGATAAGGGGTGTTATTTATACCTCTGGTTTTTACTTTACAGCGGTTATCACAAAACGAAAATCGTAAAATCAATTGTAATAATTTTTTTGAAGAGCTGGATTTGTTTGTCGGATTATACTTACAGCCTTCTACCAATTTTTTATTGAGCAAATTAAGAACCTCATTTTCTAGAAAATTTGGGAATACCCACGTATTTATTTAATTATGATCAAATAAGAATAAAAATAATAATATTGTGGCTTAAATTAGAAATGTTAGTCTTCTATTTTGAGGAGATAACTCATTCAAATTAAACAAATTTCCACGTGACATTCTTTCCATGTATAAACATTAGGGTGATTCAAAAAAAAAAAATAATTTTTTTTTTCGTGTCAAAGAGGTTCAAAAGTTTCTTTTCAACGTAAAAAAATACCAGTTAAAAGTTGAGCTCTTAATATTAATATTAAGACCGTCCGCATCGCGTTTTTCTATTTCCCATAAGAATAACATGGGAAAATTTTTGTTTGCACCTTCTGATTTTTATTGCTAGCCCGTCGTGTGTCGTGAAAAAAATTCAATCACATATTTTTATAGAGAATTGAACGCTCTACAAAAAGTGTCTCCTATGATTTTGCGAGAAACCTGACTATGATTTTTTAACCCACTGATGCTGAAAATGTTCGGAAAGAGTTTTACTGGCCTTATTATAGCATAAAATTATAAACAATTATTGTTTAAAAAACTAAATTTAAAATGTGTATAAATTTTTGTGGTGATTTATTCCAATAAGACCATCAAATTTATTGTAATGCATCAAAAACGTCAAAATTTGGATAAATTTAACTTTAGCCTAAAATAACTCTTCAACTATCAGGTTTCTCGCACAATCATAGGAGACACTTTTTGTAGAGCGTTCAATTCTCTATAAAAATATGTGATTGAATTTTTTTCACGACACACGACGGGCTAGCAATAAAAATCAGAAGGTGCAAACAAAAATTTTCCCATGTTATTCTTATGGGAAATAGAAAAACGCGATGCGGACGGTCTTAATATTAATATTAAGAGCTCAAATTTTAACTGGTATTTTTTTACGTTGAAAAGAAACTTTTGAACCTCTTTGCACGAAAAAAAAAAATTATTTTTTTTTTTGAATCACCCTAATAAACATACAATTTTTTTCAAAATGTTTTATAAAATTTAAAAATCCACATAAGAGGAAAAGAGTTGTAAAAATGTATTACACAATTTTCCGACTTCTTAAGCTTTCTCGCATCTCGGAGAACGTCAGATATGTAGAAATCTCTTTCTTTACAGATAAAGTAATTTTTTATTGTCTATCACAGAGAATAATGTCATTATTTTGTTGTATTTTAGATTTAATTTACTGCAGATGTTTTTAACATGTTAACTCCAGAAACAGCGGCTTTTAAAGTGTAAACCTGAGAACCTAATCTTTATTTTGTTCATTTCCTCTTCAATGCCATGTTACAATTTTGGAATTTCTTACTTCCCGCTTTTCCTTTGTTTATAAAACTAATTTGTTAGCTGCAGACCAGTGACTTGCCAATTCTACTTTATTACGTGATCCTCATTTTCTTTCTTACCTACTTTAACACAAAACGAGGTGTCGTCGGCGTACATTACAGCCAGCTGGCTTTTCTGCGGAATATTAATTGCCAAATCGCTAAGAAAGTATGTTATTGTTAAAAAACTGAAACAAAATTTCGAACAGATTCTGAAACTACTCGTGAAAAACAGTTTAAAGATTTGTATTGATGAGGCTGATACGTGTTTAAACTCCATATTAATTTTAATAATAATGAAAAAACTTTCAGAGTTTAAATAATATATTCGTGAATTTGTACCTGATTTAACAATAGTGTTTACAAATTTATGTTAAGTAAGGGAAATTTGTTTATTTCGGTTTGGTCGTTCATTAGTGTATTAAATCTATTGTACCTATTTATTTCCAGACATTAAAACCCCAGTATCTCTTCTGTCTGAAGACGGTACTGTGTACCGAAACACGTGTAGCAGTGACTACGAATATATTATTTAAACTCTGAAAGTTTTTTCATTATTATTAAAATTACAGTTTAAAGAGTTTGAAAATTCAGAAAAATGATTTTTAACAGCACAGAGACTCAAGGAGTTAACTAATTTTTTAAACCAATTTTTCACACATAGTACGACGAAATTTATAGCTGAATACCACATAAAATTTTACAGTAAATAAAAGGGCACAAGTACAAGCACACTGGCCATAAGAAAAGAATAATGTTCAATATTTAAAAAATTCACCGAAGTTACATCTAATGATCTTGTATTGTTGATAAGGTCTCGATAAAAACAGACAGCCAATCATGACTCATTTGGAGTTTTTGTCTACACCGGTGCCATTAGAATCGAGTCGCATTTGAAACAGTGACCGCTAGCAATAATTCAACCACGGGAGTTCATTTTGTAGTGTTGTAGTGGTTAATTTAAGGAGAGCCACCCCTGATTTATTAATAAAACAATGTATTCATGGCAAAACGGGAGACTTTCATACATATTTTAATAGACATAGCACGTATGATAAATTTTTGTGGACGTGTGGTTGTGAAAAAAATAATAAATTGTTGTTTTGTGTGTTTCCTCACTCCTCAGCAATGAGTTAAAACCAAAGGTATGTCGACAAATACTTTCTTACTTTTCTGGATATATTTTTGACAGTAATTGTTCCTTGAAAAAAATAGCTATGATTCAAGTTTTACATGAAATCTAGAAAATGCTATAAATTATTATCCGTTCACGATCTTTATATAGTAGAGTTGGCCATGAAAATCTAGTGAGTTTGTTGGTATTCGGCGCAGAAGAATAAACATTCCCTGAACTTTTTT